ATGATAGATCAAGAAATCCTTCTTTGCAATTTCCAGACTTCTTTCAATGTGAATTCCACCTTAGCATTTAATATATGTTCTTCCAACACCCCTTTCAAATTTGTTGCCGCTTCAATGTTAGAAAGTAGCTTATAAGCAATTGATTTGCCCTTATCTTTTGTCCCCTTTGTTTTTTCTCCCAATGATGCTGAGGTATCTTTTACAGGTAATTCTTGTGAAGCTGCCTCCCGAGCCTTGTCTCCTCGAGTTTGCCTCTTAGAAGAATTTCCTTCTCTAGTATCATCAAAATTTCCTCGTCTCTTTTCTTCCATCAAAGCTTCATGTTGGCTCTTAGCAATATATGCATGAACTGAAAGAGACTCAATAGGATCCTCCTAACCTGTTCTACCTCGTATTGTAGCTACAGTCCTCAATAATGCTTCTTGAGGTAATTTCTCTTCTTGCATTGTAGAGACGGCAGAAGCCCAAAACTCACTAGTTTCCGTACTTCCACCAATTTCATCATCTACTCTAGCACCATAACTTGCACTTTCTCGTGCTGCTCTTTCATGCTCTTTTAGGTAATCTTGAACCAATGCTCTCATTCCTCCCTTGCCAAAATTGGTTTGAAGAAGATCATCCCTATCTTTGAATGCTATCTTCCCATCTTTCCAGCAAATAATTCCCTGCCGTATCATATTATTAAATTCATTGCAATCTTTTCTAGTGTGTGAAGCATCATCACATCAAATGCATCTTTGTACATATCCTTGTTTTGAAACATTCTTCGAATTGTTTATAGAAGTATTTTCTTCAAGTCTTGCTAATTTGATTTGAAGATCTCGCATTCCTCGTATAATTTCTTCCATCCCCATATCTGCTTTCTTTGATAAGGATGTCGAAGGTTGAACTGTAGGCATTGTTGGTGGTATTGTACGTACTGGAGCTTTGGGTGCTTGTACTGTTTTCGGAATATTGCTCCTATCCTTCCTCCTTTCTTTTTTTGTAAGCAACCCCACCGCATCTTCAACGTTCTTCCACTTCGTTGTCAATCCTTCATCTTCTTCTTTGTCTTCAAGAAGGAGTTCTAATTTTCCTTGTAATTCTCCATCAGCAGCTTGAAGAAATAGATCAACTTTGTTCGGCTCCAATGTCAATTTTTCTACCTTTGACAATTGAGATTACTGCCTCTCAAATTCCCTTAGTAGCTCTGTTGCTTGCAAACTCTTATTGGGCCGTTCAATCCATTCCAAAAACAGCTTCTTAGTAACACGATCAGCATCTTCCAAGAAATATTCGTCTTTCAATGCATGTGAAAAAACCTCCCATGAATTCCCATAACGATCCGTAATTGATGTAATGTGGTCTCTTATCTCCGGTATCGTGGCAAGTCCAAATAATTCAACCATTTTCTTCTCAGAAACCTGATTTAATTCCATTTCACGAACATAACATCTTAAATACCTTGAAAAATTCCTCCCATCAAATTTGATCAATTTACGTGACTCCTCTGTTGGATAGCGTTCGAGCTGTAAAACTATTATCAACCTGATTTGGTTGATGAATCCTCGAAACTTGGAACGCGTACTACGAACTTATCTAGAAGGCTAACTCGGGGCTCCTTATGTTGTAGAACCAGTGGTGCTTGTCGAACATGAGGCAAAGTTGCTTCTCCAAGTGCAGAAGTTTGAGGTTGGTGCAACCTAGATTGTGCCATCCCAGATGTTCCATCATTATGAAGCCTTGCCACGACTCCTTCAATCTCTGTAATTCTTTGCGATAACGTAGCGAGGGCATTCATGATAGCATCCAACTTAGACTCCAAACTTTCCGTCATACTAATGTCTTGGCCTCCGGCCATTCTAAGAGAAGGACAGAAATGATTCTACAAGAAGATAATATTGGTTTAGACGAGGGTACTCCGCAACCTCTAAAATGCCTTAAGAGCTTCAAGAAAAAGGGTAATTCACTCTCTCCAAGAAGAATAAGACTCCAATATTGTAACAAAAGAAGTATCAATTTAGAGGAGGATAATCCGCAACCTCTAAAATGCTAGTACACTTCCAAGCAGAGGGGTAATCCACACTCTAACAAGGAAGAAACTAGCTCTGATATCTGAGGTGAGTGAAGTCTCAAAAAATTGTCACGGACACAGAAATACAGACTCAAGATCTAACAAGACGTTCAAGAAGAACTGGCAAGAACTAGATTAATCAGATGTGAACAACACCAGAGATGTGAGCTAGAGCTCCAAGAGATGTGTTGTCGAGACTGAAGAACTCTTCAGCCTTGATTCAAATATATATTCCTATTTACAAAGCTTCTCAAGCAACTTCTACCAACTAGGAAGCATCTAGGAGATTCCAAAGACTTGCTTCTAGAAATTCTAGAAACTTGTCTCTAGAAGGTTCTAAGGATTATGTTCCTAACATCTTCTACTAACAAAGAAGCTTCTAGAAGGTTCCAGAGACTTAATTCTAGAAGATTCTAGAAACTTGTCTCTAGAAGGTTCTAAGGACTATGTCCCTAACATGTCCATGGCTTTTGCACTGATCTCGGTGAAGCCACGCTCCTTCTCAGAACCTCTGCATGCTCTACCTTTTTGAACTGCCGATATAACTAGTACATGATGCTTGTGACTCACATGCCCCGTCAACATTCTATGCCATGAGTATTAAGGAATCAAGTACACCGAGGTGGATCAGGCTCACACAACTCAGTTTCCACTTGCTGATAGACTCCATATCCTCTACCACAAGTCAGGCTGGCATGTTGCATTAGCTAGTGGATTACAATGTGAAGGGATTGATTTCAACTTGCACAACACTATGTCTTTTACTCAGTCTTGTCCCTCTGCCGCACACGTGGGGCATAAAACTAATTAAAGAAAAACTGGTTCCAAGTTATAGTTTATCAATACTCATTACAATTATATGAAGAATAGCTCGAGTTTCTGTGAGGATCTTTCGACATCGAGAGCTGCAGAAAAAAAAGAATCCGCTTCAGAATCAGAAAGCATCAAGGGGGAGACGTGGAGCAGGCAAGTCAATTCATTTGCTCCTGCAATGCATCCAAGCATGTATTGCATATACAAAGCTTTGCATTTCGTATCAAAAACAGGTTGAATTGGGCAACACCGATGCAATGAACCTCAGTCCCAAGGAATCCTGCAGTTACACACACTAAGCGGCCCTCTACCAAAGCCTTCTAAACATTTGTGGATGCACTCTTGGTCTAATGGGTATCAGATTTGCACCAATACTGTCTTGCTCTCTTTTAATGTTTTCAATATATGATGAAACGTTTTGCCTGTGGATTCTTCTTTTGAAAGGATGTGTGATATTGTGTATTGATCACTTGGAAGATACAATAGCCAAATACAAATAATTATCTATACAATAGAATTTTTGGTGTAGAAATGTTTAATTTATTTTACAAAGATGAACTAAATCATAATATTATCAATTAATCATGGCATCAATCAAGATAAAACAAAAAAATATATCTTTGAAAATCTAATAAATAAATCTAAGAAAAAATCATATAATTAAAAGAAATATAGAAAGCATGTTGATAACAAAATGTCACATAATTACCAAAAATATTATAATAAATGTAAAAGAAAATTTGAAATAAAACACCAGCATTTGAAATAAAATTGAAATAAAATTTACTTGTCTAATAACAAAAAGCTATCTCAAAGAGGTAGCCAAATTCCAAATTTTCTTAAAGAATGACAGAAAATTATGTATTCAGAAAAGGTAAGAATAAAATAAATATAAACTTCAACTAAACCCAATACCAATTTTTGTATTACAAATAACTTAAAAATAGAAGAAAACAATTATTCAACACTAAGCAAGTGGGAGAAAAGTGATCAAAAACGAAATAGGAAATAGTTCAGCTTATTGTGTGATCAAGTGGAAATGAAGAACAACGAATAATTTCATGTTCGTCAAAAATCTAAAGAACAAACACAAATAGATGCGCTTGACTGGACTTGCACGAGAATTGCAAGGCAGCTTCACCAATATCATCTTATATAGATATAATTTTTTATGCTTTGTTAAGAGATGTTTAGCCAACGTATTCTTGTTCCGGAGGAATATTAAATATTTTCTTCACTGATCGAGTGTCGGTTTGAACATTTTGCAAGAATTTGTTTCATCATTCTGTCTTGGTTACTTCCGTAAGTAAAACACTGCAATATGTAAATACAAATATATTCATGTAACCGCTATTCAAAGATGCTTCGTGTAGGCTGGGCGTGGAGCGGAGCGGAGTGGGTGGGTGTGTGTTTGTGTATAAATAATCTGTGGCAGGTTTATTGTTCTACAAGTCTCTCTGTATAGATCGTCCGGAGTTCTAGCAATGAAGTTCGAAATACTGGTAGATCATTAACTCCCACAGAGCACATTGGAGACGGTTCAGTTGGGATTTCAGATCACAAGTAGTGGGACAGTCCTCGCCAATTCTGAGCCGCCTGCAAGCCATCGTTGCCAAAGGGTACCTCTTTGTGCAGCTGTGGGTGCAGACATAACACTGTAAAGTATGGTTGCTTAGCTTTGCCTGGAGTTGTTCAGGTGACCAGATTCCATGCAGAAGCGTCACTGTTAACGGTAGTCGCAGCGACAGAAGTCGTAGGAACAGGCTAGGAGTGAGCAGAGTGAACTGGTGTGTTTTTTTAAAGAATTTGGTGCGGAAAGCTGGTCCTGCAGCAGCAATGGAAAAAATCGGGATCTGCGAGGAGCCGAAGTTTCGCTCAAAGGACTACATTGACCCACCTGCAGTGCCTTTCGTAGACGCATCTGAGCTTAGGAAATGGTCATTCTATCGAGCCATCATCACGGAGTTCATCTCCACATTACTCTTCCTCTACATCGCCATCGGAACCGTGGTTGGCGCCAGTCGAAATGCCGACTGTGCAGGAGTCGGCATTCTGGGCATCGCGTGGGCATTTGGTGGGATGATATTCGTGCTCGTGTATTGCACTGCTGGTATCTCAGGTGCATTACTCTCGTCAGCTGAATCGTTACAAGAGCGTCTCTTCAGATGAATTTCTTCAACCTAGTTCAAGAGACTATGACGCCCATGCAAGTATGCTCAGAAGTGACATTTAGCGTCGTTCACCGACAGAAATCTACTTTACTCTTTGGCTAATTTAAAAATTCTATTTCCTTTCGCAGGAGGGCATATCAACCCAGCGGTGACTTTCGGCCTTCTTCTGGCTCGTAAGATTTCCCTTACTCGTTCTCTGGCGTATATGGTAGCGCAGTGCTTGGGAGCCATTTGTGGAGCAGGCTTAGTGAAGGAGTTCCAGCATTCTTTCTACATGGACCACGGAGGAGGGGCGAACGCAGTGGCACCAGGCTACAGCACTGGTACTGGTTTGGCCGCTGAGATCATTGGAACTTTCGTGCTGATGTTTACCGTCTTCTCCGCCACGGATCCCAAGCGTAAAGCACGTGACTCTCATGTACCGGTAAGTCTAACATGAGGACTACCTGTCTAACTTCTTATTTACTGTCAAAGCAAGTGGCACTCTATCATATTTCTGCTTCTCAAACGTTGTGCTAATGATTCCTTGCGACAAACCTAAGAAAGGAAGCTGAAATAATTTGGAATCTAACCATGCAAGTCACCGACGAGAGTGTTTCCCACCCGTGCTGAATAGTCTCACATTTTTATTTATTAAGAGCTGCATTTCCTGGGTCTCTAGCCAGTTGGTAATAATTTTAGAGCGACCAATTCAGAAATCAATAGGTATAGTATAATTCGTTCGCGGTCCGTGAATAAAGAACCAATTGATGTAGATCGCATGTGACATAGAACGTGGCAGCAACTTGCATGAAATTGGAGATCTGTGAACTAGTCGTCTTACTTTGATCCGTCACTATGTAATGCTATTTATAAACAACTTGAGAAAGTCCGCCGGGGCGCTTTTGTCTTGAACCACAGGTGTTGGCCCCTCTTCCGATTGGGTTTGCTGTTTTCGTAGTTCATTGTGCCACCATTCCCATAACCGGAACTGGCATCAACCCTGCCCGGAGCTTTGGTGCCGCTGTCATCTTCAACCGCAGCAAGTCCTGGGATGACCACGTGAGCTAGTCGCCAATCTGTTGAACTCAATTTAGGCTTGTTTTTAAGTTATGCTTGTATGGCCTTGGAATATTGTTCTGTATCTGGTCCAAAAGATCGACGGAAGCTGAAATTAACTTTTCTGTCCATGTAATGCAGTGGATCTTCTGGGTGGGTCCATTCCTGGGAGCTGCTTTGGCTGCCGCTTATCATCAATACATCTTACGAGCTAATCCAATCAAGTCGATGCGGTCCTTCGGAAATGGGTCCAATCACACGTAAACCTCCCAGCCAGAGCCAGCACAAAACCGTCTTAATGAGATGCTGTCAAGCGGCTTCGATGAAATTAAACAACAGCATTTAAAACCTGGTTTTTTCTTCCTTTTATTGTGCTTTCGATCCCATCCTTTTACCAGACGGCGGTTCGAACTTCAGTGGTGTGGTAGACGATTAGAATGAATCTCGACACCAAGTGACTGATCTCACATCGGCTGTACAGTTCATAAGTATTATAGGGGAGGCTGTTCGGCTCGATTTCCAGGGGAATCAATGTGTTTTTTATCATATTCTTCACTAGGATAGAAAAACAATCGGTTGAAGCCGGTCCTCGTTTGTAAGTATAGTTGCTGCTCGATACTTTAGGTCTCTACACCACTGTGATGCATCTTCTATGCTTTTACGAGCGGATCTAATGTCCGTTCCAAAGCAATTCTTCAGATATATAATACTTAGCCACAGAACATTTCCCAAACACTACATTGTAAGGTTTTAGATCTTCTCTTTGTTAATGGTAACAGAACCAACCCTCCGTCACATTCAACACAACTAATGATAACTACTCTAGTTAAAATCTCAATGGGCATTAATGTCCAATATGAGTTATCTTCTCTCACGGAAAAGGTCAACGTTCATTACTCCCTGCAGATGACCTTTATCAAGAAACACCTCTCCATTCACCAAAAGAAAAAATACCACCCATGTGGGCTCTAACCGCAACCATGGAATGCCATCAGAGCTGTGTGAGTTTGATCCTCCACAAGCTCTCCTCAAGAATGACCAGGGTTTAGGGTTTAGGGTTTAGGGTTGTTCTCGCGCGTGTTCCTCGACCTGTATCACCGACCTTGTTTTGTGTGTGCCCCCATGAATCCAGTTCTCTCGGGTATCGGCGTGACTGATGAACTCACTTCTCATAATCAGAGTGCAATTCTTCGAGATTTGTGGGTAATAGGGATTGTTGCGTGACATTTAACGTGCGATTGGACTTTGATCAAGTTTTTGACTAATTGTTGTTCACAAGGTTTTGGAAATTACGTATTGTACTGTCTTGATATTTGGAGAAATCTTTTTTCTCTGTGTGAGACTAACGTCAAAGATTTATAATAACAATAATGGCGATATATTGTTCTTTTAAACATAAAAATAAATTTCATTTGTGTGCAATTAAATAATTAATTGCAATTACACCTTTAATTCTTGTCTGTCCCAAAAAATAAAATAAGGCAAAGACTAATTTTGAACAAATTTATCTAAAACCAAAAGTTCACAACATTATGCTAAACATGACAAAATATTGAAGTTCATAACATGTATGTACCAAAAAATATGACTTTTGTTCCTTCATTGTTAAACAACTAGTTTTTCACTGTAAAAAGATAAGTGGAAATTAATCTTGAAGAAATAAGTACTGAACAGATATGACTTTTACTTCCTTCCAGATCTTTTTTACCTGAATTGTTAACAATTTTTTTCTAAATTTTAAAGAAAAGATTTAGTATGCAAAGACAACACTGTACAAAATTTATTACTTCAAGAAAACACATGGCTTTGAGATAATGCACAAAGTTTTTATAAATCTGTTTGAAAATATCATTAGTCTTTCCAACATTCATACATCCTAAAACCTGATTTCAAAGTATAGTAAACATGTGCAGTTTAATATTGTAAACAAAAAATTATAAATATAGATATAGTGTAAGTGGACATGCACATGTAAATAGGATGATATTACAAACTCTTCTTTATGCTTCTGTTTTTAAACATCACAGAATCATTATCTACATGCTTTTTACAACAAGACAAGATTCGGGATTGTGTATTTGGGATCTAAGTTGTTAACCATTTGGTATCAATCTTCCATTCAGTATTCCAAACATCACAAAATTTTGAAGCAACCTTGGAACATTCTCTCACCCCACTACCTGACCCATGTTCTGAATTTTGCCAAAATGCTATGGAGATATCCGTGACCTTTTTCCCAAAAGGGACGAATGAGTTTCAGTAGTTGCACTCAAGTGGTCCTGGAGTTGCGCGACGGGCCACTTCGGCAGACGCCGATGTGGATGCCTCGGAAACCACCATGAGCATTGTGAGCCACAACAAGCGGAGCCCAGAAGCGCTTAGTTTCTGTTCATGTTTTATGACACTACATGTGCCTGGTCATTGTCTGGGTACATGTTGCCACGTCCACAGAGCCACTCGTCCTTGGAGTGGGGTGCCTGTAGCTCTCAAACCTTCACATTTCCAAGAGTAGTTCTACCCTATCCCAGCTACCTGGAACGGATACCATTTTTCTAGTCTACGCACGCACGCAAGCACACGCAGAATTTCAACCTGGGGAGGAGAATCAGAACTTGATATTGAGTACTTGCATACTAATATTTTCAAAATGCCTAGAACCTTTTAGTGTTGCAGAATTCTGAGCATTTAAGACTACTTCGATCCTATTCTGACGTCGAGACTGATTTCATCGCAATCGGCCTTCATACATAATCCGTGTGTTCTGAACCATCCGAGAAGCTCCCGTGTCTCTGCGTAGTGTGGAGTGCCTAATAAACGACTTGTCCCTGATCCAAGCTTAACGCAGATATCGCTTAGCTTAAGTGGGAGACATTTGGGAAGAAGGGGGGAGCAACACCCCCTTCCTCTGGACACATTGCAAACAGCAATACAAACCCTTGTGATCCTGATCAGAAAATGAGAAGCCATAAGCAAGAGGATCTGGAGTTGAAACAGAAATTATTTGGAAAAACTGCAAGCCTAAGTTAACGCCTAGTTACACATCATTGATACTTGTGATAGGCCCTCTCATCCATTCAAACCATGTGGATATTATCCAGTCTTCTATCATCTCTGTATCCTAAACACCCATTTCAACAACCATGAAATAGCAGCAGATAACTGATCTGATTCCTGAACAAGAAGCAGGCATATCAAAGCAGCAGGGTAATTAGGTAACCAGAAAAGTCTAAGCTGGTTTTTCAGAGAAGTTGTTTCAGAGAAATCTAGAAAGATTTTAAGGATAGCCACGTCCGTGTTAATACACCCCTAAGTAGAAGATCTGTAAGTTTTGCTAGCTTGTACTAAAGAACGACTCATTTCCCAACCAAATGAAACATTTATCACACAATAAAGTATTACTGTATTTTCTCAGGAATCAAAAGGATTACAGCTGATCCATATAACAAACTTGAAAACTTTTAATAGGGGACGAGGACGGATTCTGAGAACCCTACTATCACTGTATGGTTTTGATATATAATAGTCACCCTCTAAATTGAAGCTTAGGAGCAGCTTCAAAACAGGAAAAGACTGAAGATTGGATCAAAGCTTATTACCACCGTAAACGGAGAGAAATCCCAAAAAGGTTCATACCCCAAAACCGAAAACAAACCAAACGAAATAAAACAAAGACAACCAGCAGTTGCAGGATTTTACTACAACCACACTGGGTACTTCTGAGAGCATGACAATGATCAAATCCAACCCTCGGACACTCTACAGTCACAACCTCGAGCTAGAGTGCATCTGTGTAAACGAGAAACAACACCGGAGACGATAGGCTAGAGCACATAACCCCAACTTTTAAAGGCCTTCTGTCGTTCGGAGAGGCTTACCGATCGAAATGTAACTTTTTAAATTCTCACACTTGGTAAAATGTTTGCATGGAGTCTATTCTGAATGTGATAGTGCGGATGGTCCCATTTCATGGAAGATTCACCTGCACAGCCTGTAGGAAGATGAATCACCGATCATAAGGAAGGAGGTAAAAATGCTCACAATGTGCAGCTGAAGCCCACTAAGAAACATCATGCCAGATAAGTGGTCTACAGGCTGCAGGGGCGGGTGAATGAATGCTGTACAAACAGGACAAACAATTACATAGAATCCTACTGCTAAAAGATAATTACACAGGACACAACAGACAGCAAAGATGCGGATTCATGCATCACCATTAACTACAGAAGACTTGTAACGCACTCACCTTCGGAGGCAGAGGGGAACTGTTGCTCAGATGGCCATCTGCTAGAGCTTGGGGGATATGACTCAGAAGAGAACATGCTGGTTAAGATATTACAAACATCCAAAGACGTTAGCTAGTCCTTATCACGTTTTGAAAGCTATTTGATTGATTGTGCAGCAAAATGTCATTTAAATGACTGCGAGAGATTACAAGTGAAGTTGTAGATATAAAGGTAGTAAATGGCATACCCCAGCTGTAACGACGTCTGTGATCTTTGCACGTCTCGAAGGTTAGGATGAGGGTACACAGTTGCTGCCGGATGCGAACTCGCACTCACGTCTCGTGAAAGAGTTCTAGCCAAATGTCTAGGGCTCTCGGGCCGAGCCTCGGATAGATTAGCTCGGGCTACTGCTTCTGCATCTGCAATCTATACCAGCATAGAGAGAAGTTGGCATGTTCAAAAGTTAAGTTGATTCTATGGTCAAAAGACTAATTATATTGGGCTTGATTGTATCGTGCGTCACTCGCTGTACGAACAAATGAACTGAGACCAGAACCAGTTATTCAACTCGAAGGTCATAGAAATGTATCACGAACTGGGAAAAAAGTCGTACAACCCCACTTAATGATACATACCTTCTTGCGAAGATCCTCATTTGCAACCATCAGTTCCTGTTCCTGTGTGGAAGAAATGTCGCAAAATATCAGAGCAAAGCAAATTAACATAACTCAAAATGTATAACATGAAAACTATAGAAAGAGACAACGTGCAACCTACCAACTCAAGGATAACAGAACGCTATAAGCTAAGAAATGAAAATTGCTTGGTCAACGAACCTTTTTCTGCAATCCCTCGATCTCTTCCAGAATGAGTTGATTCTGCAGTTATAAGCTATAAACACGGTAATTCAACTTTTGGACGCGACAAGGTCGATCTCAATAAGTACAATAAACACTCCAAGGTCATTAAACCATGCCGATTCTCCCAAAGGTAATTGATTAAAACCTACGGATATGCTGGCGTTAACGGAGCATCATTTGTCTATTTGTGACAGTCAACAACACAACTCGAGAAATACCGTTCGATTGCAACCTAGACACTTGCCTTTCTTGCTCTCACTCTTGATGCACCCAGATCGAGTTGCTGTTCCAACTGCAACAGGTCAGGCACCTTAAGCGCAGAAAGATCCTCGCCAAGCATGCGCCTGAAGAAAATACAGTATCATCTCAATGTAAGTGGCCGATTACACTGTGACCTAAAAATATCTAGAGAGACCTTGACAGCAAGGGAGCATCGAATCAAGTTTTCCTGTAACGGGATACTTCAAGGGAAAAGATTTGAGACTCCTACGATAACGACAAGCACACAGTCACCCTTCTGAAGCAAACAGATAAATACCTTTGAGAGCTTTTCAACCGCTCCACTTGCTCCTGTAACTTCACGACCTCGCGACCCAGGAACTGTCAAAATTGCACAATGTTGTAACACCAATGCATGGTGAATGAGAACATTGCAAAGTCGTGCGGGATTCCTAAACAAATGTTAAATTCCTACTTTGTGCATTGAAATTAGGGTCCCCAAGGAAATTCGTACATCAGTGCTGGCGCCAGACTTCATTGCGCCATTCGGGCTCTTCTTATAGCGCTCGATGATGTCTCGCATGCTACAAAGTTAGACAAGCTCCCAAAAATATCAGCATAATTCACCCAATAAATCCAGCAAAGCAGTTCGCATTCGAACATGTAAACCTTAAATATGAATTTGACTGGTTCCAGTTGACACAGCTTTCCAGCGGGCGGGCCTGTTAAAATCCAATTCTCACATTGTCCCGCCCTACACCAATTCCTTCACTACATAAAGCTACCTAACTTCAGTTACGTGACTTCAGAATTTAGTTCTATGAAATCAGGTATCAGATAGATCATGTACCGAAAACTATCCAAAAAAACGCAATCGTGCTTACCTGTCAAAGTACGGAAATTTTGGTACGACCAACAGCGTACAAAAATGTTCGTCACAAAGGACAGAAAATGAACCAAATGAAGTGGACAATATGACAAATTGTAAAATTCAACAATTTATATGACATTCTGTCTAGCCCATACGTTGAACACGGTGATGGCCCTGTATCAAAACTCAAAAATTTCTATCACAGCTCACCGGAAACAGCAGACAGGAAAATGAGTGCCCAGGAAAGACTATGTGTAAACAAGGAGAAGAGTATCATCCCTTGAAGATGCAGGGACAGAGTGAGAGCTGAAATGTCTACCTGCCCGAGCTGGCATACTCGAAGAGCTTTCCAGTGCTGGAGAAAATAACCAGCGCCACCTCGGCATCGCACAGAACCGCAAGTTCGTGTGCCTTCTTCAATAGACCTCCACGCCTCTTGGAGAATGTCACCTGCCTGCTTGTGGTATTCTCAATCTTCTTAATCTCAATTTTACCGCGACCCATAACCCCACCCTTTCGCCGTGTCGACTCCGTGCTCGAATCCCCCTTCCCACTCGATACCCCTAGAGACAAGCACGTCGGCACCTCGCAATCCCCGTCCAGAATCTCACCACCAGACAGCTCCTGCGCCGCCGTTCCTGTAGCAGTGGCAGCAGTGGGTGCAACCGCCCCGAACTGCCACTGCTTGGAGGGTTGTCCACACGCCGCAGTCATCATCCATACCCACTCCACCCCTTCCTCCTCCTCCTACAAATTCGCGCTTAGCCCAAACAAGCAACCAGCAGCAGCACCAGCAACGCCACCCACCCGTCCCGTATGAAACGAAGAGAATCCAAAGGCAAGCTTGTCCGAGTCGCCCACGAGATGATATCCCCAATCAAGCAGTGAAGATAGTCCCCCACTCATGAATCTAGCAACAGACACTGAGAACGTGATGTAGAGATACAGTGCCAGTGACCCATTCCATTCCAGTGCTCCTCCGGGGACCCTACGTGCTGCCAGCCGATATGGCCAATACCGTCGACTGGACACACTAGTCCCCCTCCTAGTGATTGCCCGCCTCTGACGAAAAGAAATCGCTTCAGGCCTGGAGCCACCCAACTGCCGACACCCGCGCGTCTCGCCAAAGATCGCCAGCTATGGCCTATACACTCCCCCACCCCAACGGCCCCCAATCAATGCATTTGGGCTTGCTCCCACCCCTACGCTTCCCAATGGGGTAAAAGCGCCCCCTGTACCCTTCCCGATTCAGACACTCCCTTGTCAGCTCCTCTCTCCCTCTCTCTCTCATTCTAGAACGCGCCTCCGATCCTTCCTCGTCGCCCTCGGCGGATTTCCAGCCTGCTCCCCTCCCCTCCCATCTCCATGCATGCTGCTGCTGCATCCCCCTACGTACTCACACCATAGCTCCCCACACGATGATCCATGCGCGACTACACCCTCCGGCGTCGTCGACACCGTAGTCTACACCCTCCCTTTCTTCTACCCCGGTGGCCCTTTCACCTCGCGGCTGCACCTCACACCGGGACGCTGGCGTTCGATTCCACTGCTCTGGTGTCTTCTTAATACATACAGCGCCCACCGTGTGCTTGAATGGCCCACCGTTGCATCGTTTGTGTCAAAAAGCTGGTGAAATAGTTGACACTTTTATGTGCCGGAAGTTGCACCCTCAAAATAATTACATTATAATGTATTATAATGTGCAGTTGAATGAATGTGAAGTTGTACATTAACCAACAATAACAAAAAGCAAATGCGATGTTATCAGTTAACCTGTGACTCACTATTACCCTGAGCAAAGGCACACTCGATTGGAAAATATAGAATTAAAATGCTGGACTTGTCTTCAAGCTTGACCATTCGCTTGCAACGATCAATATGAAGCTGTGCTACTCTCCATTTTCCCACTGGGTAATCTAGAGAAAAATAAATAAATGAATGCACACTATTTAATTAGTAACCTCGGGTTTTGAACCACGTAACAAATCAAAGACCATGGAAGACCAACTTTAAAACGCAATATTCCAACTTCCATGTTTCAATTAAAATAGCAAGAGGAACAACACTGTATTTGCCATGAACAGGGGAATCAGTATGAATTCTATTATTAGCGAATTTCTGAGACTCTCGATGAAATACAGCAGAGTAAATTTTAGCGAAATATGTGAAAGATCTCAAGTCAAGGATATAACCATTTTGAATGAACACATAGTGTGGTTTCAGAGGATTGTGTGCTTGATCAGCAACACAAACTGGATCTCCATTACCTCCTCAACGTTCTCAAATCATGACTGGGATTTGGAATTTTGTGTGAATTATTAAAGTTTTCTGCGAAGAATTTCACAGCTTTAATCGCGTACTCAATTTGACAAGTTTTGCGTGGATAGTTTTCAGCGTCTTCCATTATTCGCAAGTGTCATTCTATTTTTAAAATGTTCTGGAAATTTGATTCAAGCCACAGCATCTGCGTGAGTGATAGGGTCAAAACACCCAAGTCTATTTTGGGCTATCCCTGGTGAAATCTCGGAGTACCAGTCGGGAAAGTATACAGTGGTCAACCCCTCCTTAGCTTTGGATAGCGCCTTTCCTTTCTAGGTTGGTGGTAATGGCACCAATCCTGACCTTGCTTTCGCTCTTTTGCGAAAAAACGTGCGCACGACAGATGAAAGAAACAAACATTGCCTTCAGGTGCTTTGATTTAGCATTCGAGTTCTCGGCTTCCTGCATGATATCACATTGTGTATATGGTTTTGTTGTTAACTAATCATCTGGTAGATTAGCAAAATGAGTAGATCGAGTTTTGGCAAAGAGTGGAAACATGGTTATAATCAAACATGTAGAAGCGGTTGAGAACTGCCATAACATATTGGCATTGATGATGGAAGAAGATTAAGCTACGTGGTGAGGATCATTGAATTTGAAAACCCACAAAATAATCATGGGAGCTTATGGTGACTTTAAAAGTGGCTTAACAATTCTTTTTCTTTTTCTTTTGACATTATTGGGCTGGAACCAACAAATTTGTCAACATAAATTCCAACAATTGTGCGAAGAAAAATATTGTTGTTGAGGTTGGTACAAGGGTCGGCAATAGATGGATAAAGGCTGAATTGTTTTTAAAACATGTCAAAAAATTTACTCGATTGACAAGTGATTTTCTTTATGCCATAAATGTTTTTTTGGAGGTCAATATAATGGTCTTGAGGAGGATTGTTGAAAACGATCAATTACAATGATCAACCATGAAAATGCTATCGTTATAATTGGCCAGTGTTCTCAGGGAATTAGAGTGAATTTTTTGAACCATACCTGGCAATTTGTTACATGTCTTGTGGCGGCAAAATCTGCAAACCTAGTTTCATCTTGAGAAGAAATCGAGTAGGCGTGGAACAAAAAAGTTGAAGTCAAAGTTGGACTTATTGGCATAGATTTTTTATTTTGTCCCCAAGTGTAAAAGGCTAAGTCTCCAAAATCATCGTGTGCTTCTTGCATTCAGAAGAGACTTTGGTGGCAAGAAGGCGCTCTCGGAAAGAAAATTACATAACTGCTATGGCAGGGGCAAGCGAGCGGAGCTATGAGTGTAGAGTTGATGATCCGAGCCAATGCACAATTCAAATTAGCAACTTCATTTACAGAGGACGTCTTGGCAGAAACAAAAAAGATGCAGCAATTTAAGAGAACAGAGGATGCAGAGGTTAACGTCGTAGAGGCCCATAACCTATTGATGTTAATCATGCACAAGCATTGATCAAACAATAGTAATCTTCTTCGAGATTGATCTCCACGCAAACGACAAGTCGCACGCTCGGTAAAAGTACAACTAATCTGCATTGTACGTTAATCTATATATACAAAGAGTTACGATTCACATTATCATGTAGGAAGTCGAAGGAACGTACTCATCCAACAGCTACGCGTGAATGTTCTGGCAAAACTGTTTGAGAAAAAAAGGACATATAAATCTAACAAGTGGGTCCCATCCCTCAACTCAATCTGATTCTCGGTACCGTGCATGCAATTGTGTCCGCTCTCGATTCCATCCCATTGGGGTGAGTAATCACGACCTTTGGAGGTTTGAGTTTAAAGCTGGTCGGATTTGCTTAATATGATTTGCTTTCGAGCGGACCTGCCCAGTTTGTAAAGTTCGGTGTGTTCCTGGCAGCCCGTTTAGACATGTAGCCCTGTAATCGACGAGAGAAGAGACCAATTTCAACATGCAATTGATCGGCGTCATTGCAACGGCAATCTTTGGGGAGGAATGAATGAGTGGTCCCCAAGAGAGGCCTAGAGCTCCATTGTTGGAATGGCAGGGCTAGGTCACGCAACCCCGCTTCTCCTCCTCCATCCATCCCGGCTTTCCTGTCCACCCCAGGACCTATTTTCTCATTCACCTCCACACGGATAACGACGCTGCATGATGTTTAGATTTAGTTTTAAATTATCGTCTTAATGATAACCGCGCCATGTCCCCACATGTGTATTCTGCAGCTAAACCTGGCTACAATTAGGTGCGGCGTTATCACAAATCACGCTATCCGGAGATTTGCGGGTCGGGTCCCTGGCGTAGCTACTGGCGCAGGCGATGCCATCTGAACCTTGGCGCCTGACACAGTAACCCACTACATGCCAAGCTGTGAATCGATGCGCAGTAAAGCTCGAGCGACGTCACTGCGGTGCTTCTCATTCGCCGAAGGCGTTGCTTGTGCACTAGCCCAACTTTCACCCTCCGCATACATGGCCACGATACTCGTAGCCGTATTCAACGCATTTCAAGTTATGATCTTTACGTAAAGTACTGTATTCTACTTCTTCTGCTTCTTCTTCTTCTCACGTCGTGATATTACACGCAGATTGTGTAGATCGCATCCACTTCGGAAAGGCTTCTATTTCCGTCCCATTTCTTTTGTGTTGATTCATGAGGCTGATGAGAGTTTGCGGACCCAACTTTTTGTCAGCATCGTCCCGTTATACCTTATTTCTCCTCTTCCTTCACACTGATTCAGATTTATCTATCTATCTTTGTGTAGGTGTGTGCGTAGATGGTGAACTTGTGAAATGCATCAACTGTTTTCTAAAAAAACGGCTTTGTTTTAGATGAGAATGGGAAGTTCGAAGAAGCTGTGTCTCAGGTTTCGTATGGGTTTCCACCTCAGATCTAGACAAGGGCGATGCCATTTTAGGGTTGGAGGTAAAACTAAACGACAGCTTCACATTCTGGTGCTCTCTTAACACAATCCAGTTGACAACTCCCGACTCGAGAGTTTCGTTCTCTATATTCGTGATTTGTATGAATCTGGGCATGTATAAATATGAAAGAGACAAAGATAGAGGATTTGGAATTTCTCTTTCCTGTTTAATATTTCATTTATTGATGTATGAATGTATGGTCTGAAACATGGAATTGTGGGACCCCGTTGGAGAAGTTGATAGGGGAATGTATCCATGCCCAAACGAGTTTTAATTCATTATTTATTCGTTTTTGTAGAATATTAAATGTGTGGAAGAAAGTCTACTAGTGAATTTATAATATATGTCAAATTACTAGATTAATATAAAACAAATTTTTAATTAAAAAATATATGTTTGAACTTAGAAACTGAAATAGTATAATTCAAAATGTATTTTGTAGTGAAACTTTCAAAATTAAAAAATTTGAAAAATAAGATATTATGTAGAAATGTAAGTTAACATGTTTTGTAAAAAGACTATAGTATAATTAACTGGAAAAAAAACATTAATGCGAAATTGATTCCAATTTTACATATTTAAACTAATTTTTGATGTAAAGTTTTAAATTAATATTTTACATATTATCTAAATTATTACTTTTTTATTTTAAATATTTATCTTTAATTGCATACTTTAGAAGTTGGTATACTATAACAAATTAGAGTTACTATATGTATTTTATTAGCAATAACACCTTAAGTATTAAATGTAAATTCAATTTATCTAACTTTGCTGGATGTCCATGTGATAATAAAGTATACTAATAAATTTTAATTTTAATTTATTTTTTAAAATTCTATTCAAGGCTTGATTATTTACCATAAATAAATTGGTCTTTACACAACTAATCCAATAGCCTCATAGATATTATAAACCATTTCCTCTAATCTAACATGTATATTTTTGTGTAACTTAATCTAACTCA